GGGAAGTTCGCTCTCTCTCTCTCTCAGGTGCATAGAGTTCTGATGTTATGACTGGTCAGTTTGGCCACTCTGCCAGGCTCAAAAGGAGGCCTCCTAGAGGGAGAGGTCTCTCTGAATGCTGGCTGAGAAGGACATGCTGCTGAGAGAAACGCACTCCTGAGAGACATGCGCTGCTGGGAAAGAGATGCAAGAGACATGCATTGCTGAGAGAGACACGCACTGTTGAGAGACTGCTGTCTGAGAGACGGCGGGCTGAGAGAGACTGAGCGTTTTTCCTGAACTTGAATTGTAGCCTGCTGCTTCCCTAATAAACCCCATAATCTGTGAGTTCTGTGTGGCCAGTGCAGCGAATTATTGAACCCAGCAGAGAAGTGGTGGGTGCTGCGGGAGGAACAGCTGGTGTCAGGGTTGGTGAAAGGGCTGGAGGGAGGTAGCATGTCTGGCCTCACTGTAATAGGCCTTGGGCTACTAATAGTGATTCTGTCTTCCTCTTGTGTGGTTACAGGAATAAGATACGGCCTCCCTGCCCCTTTGGCAGAGAGCAATAGACTTCCCCAACCCACAGAGCAAGAAAGTTGAGTACCTACAGGTAAGAGGGCTGCTCATTAAATAGGTACCTTGCTGGGCACCTACTGCAAAGCTAAAAGAGCTCTGTAACACTGGCCCCAACAGGGCACTGGCTGAGGCCGAAAAGAAGCATGCCTGTGGCACAACAACTGAGAAGAAGTTGTATTGATTGAAGAATTATATCCTGAGTGTTCCTGAACCTGAATACCTGTTACTTCCCTAATAAACCCCAAAATCATGAGTATCATCTGTGAGTTCTGCGTGGCCACTGCAATGGATTACTGCACCCAAAAGAGAATGCCGTGGAAGGGATGGTTGGCGTCAGAACTCGTAAAAAGGTTGGAGGGTGGCAGAACATCTGACCTTCACCTTACAGGAATCAGCCTCAAGCTATTGATGTTGATTCTCTCTCCCCCTTGGGATGTTAGAGGGGGTCAAATGATGACACCCCCACACCACTTCTGCAGTATTAGAAGAAGAAATCCAAGGTGCACTGAGGACAAAGCTGGAAGTGCTCATGTGTCTATGCCAAGAAATTTGGAAGAAGGCTACCTGGCCAAACAACTCAAAGAGACCATCCATATTTGTGATCATTCCAAAGAAAATAATCCAATGGAATGCGAGAATTACTACAGTATCAAAAATATCACATACAAGTAAAATTGTACTAATGACAATTCAAAAAATGGTTGCAGCACTACATCGACAGGGAAATGCCAGAAATCCAACCTGGACTCAGAAGAGGACATGGAAGAAGAGATATCACTGCTGTTGGATGGATCTTGGCTGAAAGCCGAAAATACCAGAAAGTTGTATACATGTGTTTTATTGACCATGCAAATGCATTTGACTGTGTGGATCATATCAAACTATGGGTAACACTTCAAAGAAGGGAAATTCTAGGACACTTAATTGAGGAATCTATGCTTAGACCTAGGGGCAGGCATTCGAATGGAACAAGGGGATACTGTATGGCTTAAAATCAGGAAAGGTGTGCATTGGGGTTGTACCCTTTCACCAAACTTATTCAATCTGTATGCTGAGTAAAGAATCTGAGAAGCTGGACTATATGAAGAAGAAGATGGCATCAGAGTTGGAGGAAGACTCACTAATAACCTGCAATAGGTAGGTGACGCAACCTTGCTTGTTGAAAGCAGAGAAGAGTTGAAGCACTTACTGATGAAGATTGAAGACCACAGCCTTCATATGGAATATATCTTAACATAAAGAAAACTAAAATCCTCACAACTGGACCAATAAACAACATGATAAACGGAGAAAAGACTTAAGTTGTCAGGAATTTCATTTTACGTGGACCCACAATCAATGATGATGGAAGCAGCAGTTAAGAAATCAAATGACATATTGCATTGGGCAAGTCCACTGCAAAAGACTTGTTCAAAGTGTTTAAAGGTAAAGATGTCACCTTGAGAATTAAGGTGTGCCTAAACCAAGCCATAGTATTTTCAATTGCCTCATATGCATTCAAAAGCTTGACAGTGAATAAGTACAAAAAGGGCAAGGAGGCCACATATTCTGACCTCCTAGAACCCCACAAGAGGAAGGCAGAATCACCATCAATAGCCCAAGGCCTATTACTGCAAGGCCAGACATGCTGCCTCCCTCCAGCCCTTTCTCCACCGTTCCTCCCAAAGTACCCACCACCTCTCTCCTGGGTTCGATAATTTACTGCAGTGGCCACACAGAACTCACAGATTATGGAGTTTATTAGGGAAGCACCAGGCTACAATTCAAGTTTAGGAAAAATGCTCCGTCTCTCTCCCAACCCACTGTCTCTCAGCCAAGTCTCTCCCAGTCTCTCCCCCAGCAGTGCATGTCCCTCGGTGTCTTACTCAGCAACGCATGTCTCTTGCGTCTCTTTCCCAGCAGCGCATGTCTCTTTCAGTAGCGTGGATCTCTTTCAGCAGCACATCTTCCTCAACCAGCAGTCAGAGAGAGTTCTGCCTCTAGGAGGCCTCCTTTTGAGCTTGGCAGAGTGGCCAAACTAGCCAATCATAGCATCAGAACTCTAAGCACCTGAGAGAGAGTGGGAACCTCCCAGAACATTGTTTTGTGCCACTCCCAACAGAAATACTCCAGGTGGACAACTTTAGCAATCAGGAGCTCCTCAGTTGCTCATAGCAAATCCCACCTTGGAGTTTACAAAGACTTATGGGCAGAAAAGCCACACTAAGTAATTTACTACACTGCAATAAGGAAGACTGAAGCATTTGAATTATGGTTTTGGCAAAGAATACTGAATAGATCACGGATGGCCAGAAGAACAAACACATGTGTTTTAGAAGAAGTACAGCCAGAATGCTCCTTAGAAGCAAGGATGGCTTTGTCTCACGTACTCTGGACATGTTATCGGGAGGGACCATTCCTTGGAGAAGGATCATCATGGTTGGTCAAGCAGAGGATCATTAAAAAAGAGGAAGACCCTCAATGAGATGCACTGACACAGTGGCTCCAACAATGGGTTCAAACACAGCAAGGATCGAGAAGACGGGCAGAACTGGGCGGTGTTTCATTCTGTTGTGCCGTGAAGAGTCGGAACCAACTCGACAGCACCTAACAACAACAACGCAGGATCCGGAAGCTCAGCTGTTGTTTGACCAGTGCAAAAACGGCAAGGAGGCCACATGTTCTGACCTCCTCTAACC